GCCATGGAGCGGGAGCAGAGCTGGGACTATGCTGCCTCTTGGAGATGGCCGCTGGGGCATCCTCTGCCCACCAATCTGGCATCCCTGGTGCCCAGCCCTCCCTGGGCTGGTGGTGCCTGTGCTGGGGAAGGGAAGCATATGCCTAGTGCAGGATCTCTTGCTGCCAGCCCCTTGGCCAGCACCGTGCTCATGCTGGGAACTTGGGGCTCTCTGCCCTGCCCAGTGCAGGCAGGTCCTGGGTGTGCCGTGGGTGTTCCACCATGGGGATGGAGGGGGCTTCAGCCATCCCTGCTGGCTTGCATCAGGCTTCCCATTACCAACCCCTCTGAGAACTCACACCACAGCTCCGGCAGGTTTTATACCCCGTTCCCCAGTGCCAGCCTAGTGGTTGCCTGTGTGCAGCTGCCTCCCAACCTGTCTGCCCTGTCTGCCGCTTTCAGCCACTTCTTGGAGAAATGCGTCATGAATAACTACTTCGGCATTGGCCTGGATGCAAAGATCTCCCTGGAGTTCAACAACAAACGGGATGAGCACCCCAAGAAGTGCAGGTTGGCTGAAACTCCCAAGACTTCCCCCGGAAAAACATGTATCCCCTTCCCCCCGGCTCTCTGATGCCCATACCAGGAAGGACCGTCAGGATGCCGGGAGCCATGGGGTTGGCTCGAGGCTGCCGTGCCTGGCTGGGGGAACCTCTCCCTGTGGCAGGTTTTCCACCTGCACCCAGTGCTGCGGTGCTGGGGTGAGCACCCCTGGGTGGGTGGCAGATTGCAAACACCCCTGGGAGGGGGGAGAGCTGCTGCGAGTCTTCAGCTGCTGATGCCCTCCCGGGTGTGTGATGGGCACAGGAGGGCTTGGTGGGATTGACCCACGCTGCACCTGGATAGAGGAGACATTGCTGTGCCGGCGTGGAAGGGTGCATGTCTGGGTGCCACATGCTGCAGCCTGCATTCCTGGGAGGTGGCGAGCAGCACCTTTGTTCTAGGAGTGGGGAAACCGAGGCAGACGCAGGGCCAGCGGTCCAGACTGGCTGCTTCAGCCCAGTGCCCTGGGGAAGGCGCAGAGCCTGCGGCAGGTGAGGGATGGGGAGCCCACAGCCCCTCTCCCC